TTTTAAAATTTTCATATGTTTTTATATAAAAATTTTAATATTAAGATTAATATATAAGATTAATTAAGTTTAAAAAAAGTTTTTAAAATATAAAAAATTATTATTTAAAATATAGGGTTAAGTTAGTAGAAATTAAGCAAATTTTTTCTAAGTAAATTTTTTTAAAACTTTAAATAATAATAATTTAACAACAACTTAATTAAATTTAATAATTTTTTTTAAATGAGTTTTACAAATTTATAAAATTTATTTAAAAAATTTTTTATTAAATTTGATCAAGTTTTTGTTAAGATATTGACATTTAAAGTTGTTAAAAAATTTAATAAAAACAATTTACTTAATTTCTACTAACTTAACTCTATATATTATAAATAGTTTATATAAATATAAAGTAAATAATAAAATATTAATCATAAAAATAAATTTTATGAGGATGGCAATCCTAGTGTAGTGGTTGGGTTGTCATTCTCCAAATAGCAGGTCTAAGGTTCAAATTCCACCTACAATAAAATTTGGAAATTATATTTGTGTTACAGAAACTGTCTTCTGTCAATCAGTTGACCTCATGCAGCTGTAACCCAGATATACCAAGTCAGAGTTCTACTAACATTGGGAGCTCAGAGCATCTATGTGAAGTATAACATTATATATATATAGAGAAATGTTAATAACCAGTGTTGCATAAGACTTCAGTGCAAACTCATGATAAGACCACCAGGTGTAGAAGACTAAGGAACCGAGGAGACAGAATCCTACTTGGAAATTTCTGAGTAAAGAGATAGCACAAACTTTCAACAGTGTTGTCAGACTGATGAAAGCCTACAAAACATCTTCATAGGAACTGAAGATTAAAATTGGATGTCAAGATGTATAGTGGAGCATATAACCAACCAGGCCACTGGATTCATTGAAGAAAAAGGATACTAAGGTATATCATACCAAGCCATCTGAATTGGTAGTTTGGAATAAAACCGACAGTTCTGAGTTGCGGTTATTAGGAGATGATGGAGAAGATATTGGAAAGATAAGTACTGGGGTTTAGATGAACTTTACAAGGGTAAAAATAGTATAATGTAGCAGTTTAAAGTTAGCCCTAACTGCAAGTGTTAGATAACTATAACATGTTACATAAAACTAGGTTAGCTATGTATAAGACACAAAAGACTCTAATAACGATGCTTCTGAGAATACACTGCATGAAATAAAATACAGGGTCCTAAAGATACAGGTAAGCATCTAGACCTTTTTGATTAACTTATGTAGCAGAGATGATCTAGTGATACAGTAAGGGTTGCAGTACAGAAGATTTAAATAGGCAACACCCCTAGTTGGGTTGCAGGTATAGCAGCTAGTATAGAACTATTGGTGGACTACTTAATTAGACACCAAAAGTGTACATGTAACTAATTGTACTCTCTAATGTAAGATGACTTTTTTGAGGCCTTGACTGTGAGTCCTTATATCCTGACTATAATGAATAAAAAACCCTAGTTCCAAAAGAAGCTAATTTAATAAAAAAAAAAAAAATTTTATAAATTATAAAATTATTAGAAATATTTAAAAAGGATATTACTAACTATAACCTATGGTGATCATCACCTAGAAGCTATATCTCAAAAAAACACACTAAGAAACAGGAGTCAGGTAGACTAAGTAAAAATGTTCAGAACCCCTGAAAACCTAGTGTAACCTAAAATTCGGACTATTATATCTAATCCTTGCTTCTGTCTCAAACTGCACCCTAACCCTAAAAATAGAGGTAGTGATGATCACCATGGGTTAATTGAAGTATTTTTCATATAAAAATATAAAAAATTAATTATAAAAATATAAATAAATAATAGCATTATAGTGCTATAACATTGTAATGCTATAGCACTATAAAATAAATCCCTAATATTAAAATGATATTTATAAAAAAACGCCGATCAAATAATTTTATTATTGCTAATAAAAAAACATTAATATATAACAATTTTTAAAAATATCTATACAAGATTTATGTTATTAGATATTTAAAAAAAAACAGACTCTTAATATTTATAGCGGTTACGAGACTCTCGTTCATTAAACCGATCAAATGGTCTTCGGTCACTAAAACGATCCCGTCCATAGTTACGGTTACGGTCATCATGACCGATAAACGAACGCCCTCCCCACGATTTTCCTTTCGATCCATTGTTATTACCAAATCCTATCCTTGAAAGTAACCCAGGACTTATATTTGGCTCAGTTCCAAAAGCTTTACCCAACTCGTAGACAGAATCCAATAAATCATCTTTTCTGATGAAATACGAAGTCAATTTTCCAGAATCTAATCATTAGACAATTTAAGCAAAAAGAAATGAGTAGGTAATATTCAACTTATAATTTCCAAAATAAAAAGTTTAAAATGCTTACAATATCCGAGGAAAGCCAGGCACGCACTTTTTACCACAGAACTATCAAGCATTTCGATGGCTTTCACAACCACCGAGTCTGTGCTTTTTTCCAAATCAGAATCAATGCCTTCTATGCGTTTTATAGGTAAGTTATCAATGCAATTTATAAAGCCCTTTTCAAAAGGTGCCAAAAGTAATATTCCTTCCCCTTCCTTGCCCGCACGACCCGTTCGACCTAAACGGTGGATGTACTGATCACGTGAAGATGGTGCACCCACTTGAACTACCAAAGTAACTCCAGGATAATCTACACCACGTGCTGATACATCTGAGGTAACCAGAATTGCATCATGTCTCGATTGCCGAAACCTATTTGATACTTTAGTACGTTGTTCTTGGGACTTTCCAGAATGAAGTTCAAAAACTTCAACATCACCAATACATCGAAGAAAATCTGCGTAAAGTATAGTTGACATTTTTGTCGGCAGAAACATCATAATTTTTCCGTTCTTGTGTTGTTTCATGTGGTCGTTGATTATTTTGCGGATTGCAACGAGGTGGATATGATAAGGGATAATAGCATATGTTTGTTTTACTTGAATATTTGTGTTTACATCATTCGGATCAACTGTATCAATAAATGTGTAATCTGACTTAAGCGCAAATTTGGCAATTTGTCGAATTTGTGGTGAAACTGTGGCAGAAAATAGGAACGTTTGACGATCCTTTGGATAATATTGAATAATCCTCTCGATATCTTCACGAAATCCCATATCTAGTAACTGATCCGCTTCATCGAGGATTAGCTGTCAGATTCAAATTCGATTAGAGAAAATGTAATTAGAAAAAATATTTATTCTAGCAGCAATATTTATTTCTATCATTTATGTAGAAAATTATACACACTGTTTTAATTTCCATGCATTGTCTATTGAAATGCGGAAGGCTTGATAACAAGTCCTCAACTCTTCCAGGGGTACCGACAACTATATCAACTCTGTGACGCATCAACCTTTTGATTTGGGCGTCCCTCCGTTCACCTCCTACTAAACAATGAACTTTGTAGTCATAAAAACGCGTAAGTCTCTCTGCTTCTGTTGCTATCTGTTGTGCCAACTCACGAGTCGGTGAAAGAATCATAACTGAGACCATTCTTCCGTCATTATTTTTAGGATGCGATTTTCGATGCATTGTCTCTATTGCTGGTATAAGAAAAGCTAAAGTTTTTCCAGTTCCTGTCTTTGCCTTTACAAATAAGTCACCCTCAATCGGAGCTTGTGACAATACAGCATGTTGAACTTTTGACATAGTGATATATTTGAATTCCTCCCTCAAAGATCTTTGAGTTCTGGGTAAAATTGCTGTAATCTCGTCGAAGCGGCCTTCCTTTTCTTGAGCACTACTATAGGGACGGATCATTATCAGTTGACGAGATCTAACATGAGAAGGGTGAGGAAGGCTAATTGGCAATGCAATAGAGCGTATGCGAGACAGGGATCTTAATAGGTTCATCTTTTAAAGTTGACAACTGATCGATCTAAAAAATTTCGAAGAATTAAATCGTTGAATGATTATCTAGCAAAAAAATTTTTGAACAAGTGACACAAACCCAAAAAAGCTAGATAACAAATTAGATGCTATAAATTTCTTCTGATTGGATAATCACTTACATCTGCCTTTTTTTAAAAGGACTTAAGATGTAGATCATTATTTTGTAAGAAATATAATAAAAATAAACAAACTAGTAGAAATACAAATCCTAAGAATCAAAAAAAACTAACACAAATACAGCATAATCAACTGCTACAACTTAAATTGTATCAAAAAACAAATATAAACAGCAAGATAAACAAAAAATAATATGGTTTACAAAGATAAAATCAATTAACATATTAATAGCAAATATAATTTTTTATTTTTATTTTTATTTTTATTTTTTTTTAAAGTAATCTCTTTGGTTTTTTGACTTTTATTAATGACTTTATTGGTAATATGATTCTATAAACCATTACCAGTGTTGTTAATTTAACCGGGTAAATAATAATTAACTATTTGAACCAATGAATCGATTATTTAACCAAATT